ATTAAAATAACATAATTTTAAAGGTTTTTTTTAAAATTTTTTTTGTTAGTGTTGCTAATAAACATTTTTTCAAAATCAAATAATGATCAACAAGTGCCATACGCATCGATTTACTTCAATGTAGCGGCCCCGTTTACTTCAACCTTTCTTGGGCTAGGTTAAGGTTAGTGGATAATTGGATCTTTGATGGATCAAATTCTTGTGGGCTTTGGACCCAAAATAAACAAACGAAGTCAGGTCCATACCATAACCAGTACATTCCGCTTTCACCCTTGGCGCTTGGCGCCTCTGCCGGTCTCCAGTTCATTCCCCATTTCTTTCCAAAATGAAGATTTCCCTCTATCGACTGCTGGTGTCGGTAACTTTCCAGCCTTCCTGCCGACACCTAACTTTCGTCCCCGTTCTTAGTCGATTTCTTGAGGATCAACGTTCGTCGTTGGTCCAATTCAGCAAAGCCGCGATTTCAATGCTGCTCTTTTCACTGAAACCGACTGCGAATTGCTGTTATTTGGCCGGCGTAACCTGCGGCAGCCGGGGCCAAATGATTGGAAATTGAAGATAGTGAGTAGAGAATATCAGTGGAATGGAAATCGAAAACTCAAGCGATTCGTATGATCTTTCATCAATCTTCAGAGCGTCAATTTAAAGCATGTGGCCTGGTACAAATTTCGAGTTAATTGTTTCTTGTTCTTATTTCAATTTTGGAAAATTAAATAGGTTAGAGAATACTAGTTCCTATTTTATTCTTCTTTTTCGATTATTTTTAAAATTTACCTTTTTTTATAATTTCTCGTTCTTATTTTCGTTAAGAGAATATGATTGCTGCGGTTAGGTTGAGTCCAGGTGGCCTTTATAGTATTAGGAGCTATTGAAGGAGGAATAGAAAAGAGAATGGAAATCAGGTTCATAATTTTCTTGAAATCACATATCGAAGAATAAACTGATTAATTATAGTCAAAATTACAGGCTTAAATACTGAGAAGTAGTTAAATTAGCAACTGGGACAAAGAAGTGAAGCTTTAGAATTGTTTGATTATGAAAACTGCAGTAAAGCTTTGTGAATTGAATGTTACTTTCAATGCAGAAATTTGATGGAACCTCAAATGGATACATTTGAAACTCACTCCTCCTTTCATGTTTAGTCGTTGAAGACTTTTAGCAAAGCAGTGTAGGGTTCAATGCTCACTTCCGTTTGTCTTGTTCTACATATTCTAAACCTAGCTGTAGTTAAATTAACAAGGCAAACGGGCCTATGTCTCAAAACTTTCAAAGTTGCTGGCTTGCTGCCAATATCATTTTCTCTCTTCTCTAAAACTCACTGTTATTTTGGTTTCTCTTGATATTGCGAGCAATGAGAATTTCAATCTTTTCTTGGCTTTTTATGATACCCCTTCAACCATTTTCTTTGAGATTAATGTGGTTTTGGTTTCTGGTCAATGTCAAAGAAACCAGCAGGGCGTGCTGCTCAATTGAAGAACAGGCTCAAGTTCAATTCCTCTTCATCTGTTAAACTGGTGAGGTAGAATCAAAGCACAGATTGCTGCACGTGGGACAGTGTAAAATGCGATGCCAGAGGTTGTATTACCAATCTTGATTTGAGCAAGGAATGGATTATTGATGGAGTTGATAATTCAAGCAGTATCTTCAATCTCCAGCATCTCCTGAGTTAAATTTGGCATATAACAGCTTCGGCTCCATGTTTCCTTCCAAGTTGATAACACTTGCAAATTTGAGGCATCCTAATCTCTCAAATTGGAGATTTCAAGAATGGCAAGCTTGGTAACTCTTGATTTATCTTTCGAATTCCTAATGGTTGGAGGTTCATTGAAACTTGAGAACCCAAATCTAGTTATGCTTGTTTGGAATCTAAAGGAGCTAATTCATCTCTATCTTGATGGAATAAATATATCAGCACAGGGGAAAGAGTGGTGCCAAGCTAATTTGTCTTCTTCTCTGCTGAACTTGCAGGTATTGAGCGTGTCAAACTGTTTTCTTTAAGGCCCCATATATTCTTCCCTTTCCAAGCTTCAATCTATTTCAGTGATTTGTTTGGATGGAAACAATCTGTTTGCTCCATTTCCAGAATTCTTCGTAGAACTAAGGAACTTGACTTCTCTACAGCTTGCTGCCACTAATTTGCAAGAAGTTCCAGAGAAGATCTTCCAGGTACTTACACTAAAGACTCAACTTATTGATCAACTCATTTCTTGAAGAATCAACAACTTTCATGGGCTAATTAGTTGCCTAGATGACAATTCATCCCGGCAACTGCTTCAAGTTATCGATCTTGCTTCTAATCAGTTTAAGAGAGGACTGCCTTATCATTGGTTAAGAACCTGGAAGGCAATGGTGGTTGCTCCAGATGGGCTCAAAGTCCTTGTTTTGGAGGAAAATGTTTAATTTGAACTTGATCATAACAATATGTTATACCCTAAAAGCAAGTCCTATAATAATTAGGACACGTGTAGACAATCTAGAAATAATCCTATTAAGGATAGAATAAATCCTGATAGGATAAGAATACCCAAACACCAATTAAAACAAAATTGTATTCCTAGAATAACTGTATTTAAGCATCCTATAAATACCTCTAGGATCAACCTAAGAAGGGAGATTATTTTTCCACCATTATTCTCTCTACATTGTAAATTCTATCAATAAAGATCTTGGTTCCACACTATCTACTCTATTTTTACGGTTAACATTTGGCGCCCATCGTGGGGCCGAGTTCTTTTTGATCCACGAATACCGCATGGAAAATTCAGAAAATTCATCACCTCCTAGCAGAAGCACCCCAAATTCTAGAAGCAAAGCCAGAATGAGCAACTCCTCTTCATCAAGCACGAATCCAAGAGATACTGTCAACAAAGCCAAACCATCAGACTCAACAGTAGCATCGCAAATACAGAAACTTACACAAGACATGGAAGAAACCAGGCAAAGTCTAAAAGCAATCGAATGGGCCATAGCATCTATGACAAAGGCTACTAATACCTCGTCACAAGAAGCTAAACGAGAACGCTTATCACAAAGTGATGCCAGGACACTTGAAGGGAAGGAGCAAGATTCAGCACAAGGAAACAGCAATCAAGATGAAAGCTACATACCTTCAAAATCGACAGAGTTGACAATCGACACGAGCTTACAACCATCCTCAGCTTTCACTCAATACAATTTTCGGAGTAAAAACATGATACCTCGTACACATTCAAACCAAAGGAAGGCTAGCCAACAAATCCAAGAAGCCACACTCACGGCAGCAGGTCCACAAAAGACAGAAACACAGTTTCATGATGATGGTGTTTACAAAGAAATTGAGGTGTTGCGACAACATCTGGAAAAGATAGAAGCAGGCAGGCAGAGGTATGTAGAACCAGCACACACAGCTTCAGTAGAAAAAGCCTTTATAGACGACATCATCAGGGAACCTGTGCCATCAAACTTCAAAACTCCGCAGCTAGCTGAGTACGATGGAACTCAAGACCCAGTGGAGCACGTGCAAGGATATAGAATGGCAATGATGGTATATGGAGCCTCGAATGCCCTATTATGCAAGCAGTTCCCAGCAACTTTCAGGAAAGCTGCGCAGGCTTGGTTCACAACATTACCAGAAAAATCTATCCAGACCTTTGATCAATTTGCGAACATGTTCATTAATCACTTCACTGCCAGCAGAGTTCCCCGAAAGACTAACCATCATCTCCTAACAATTAAACAAAAAATAGGAGAGTCACTAAGAGCCTACATAGCAAGATTTCACAACGAAGCTGTGCAAGTAGAACGATTGGACCAAAGCGTGGCAATGCATGCTCTAATGGACGGACTTAAAGACTCAAGTTTCTATAAATCTCTAAACAAGCGAGAACCCACCAGCCTTAATGATCTCTTAAGAAGGGCGGAAGGATACATCAGAGCAGAAGAAAGGGCGGTAGTAAAAGAAGCACAAGAAACATCAAATTCAGAAAGAAAGCGAAAAATAGAAAAAGATATAGATAATGAAAGTACCAAAGACAGAAAACAGTCAAGATACAACTACCTCCATATTTGAAGAAACTTTGTCACAATCACATTCAACCACATCAAATGATGAATCAAATTCTGCATTTGCAAGGCAAGATAGACATCTCAAAATTCTACATGCACAAATCTTAAAAGAAAGCTGCGATCCCAGCTAAGTATATTTACTTTTTAATTTTCTAATTTTCAACCTCAATAATCATGCAAGTTATTGTGTTTTTAAGAAAACTAACCTTTCTCTTGAGAAACTTTTGGGAGAAGGCCACATAGGCCAAAAAGCTCAAAGCAGAGGAATTCAATTACAAGATGCACAAGTCTAACAAGAGTTATGAGACAAATAATAAAACTGCGAGCAACTTTGGATGTACATAAATATCCAAGCAAAAGTTACGTAAGCAAAAAGAAGCTGTGAGCAAGTTTGGGTGTACATTAAATACCCAAGCAGAAGTTACACAGACAAATAATAAAGCTGCGAGCAAGTTTGGATGTACACAAATATCCAAGCAAAAGTTACGCA